TTGTTGTTGTTGTTTTTTTTGAGACAGAGTCTCACTCATTATGTCACCCTTGGTAGAGTGCCATGGCGTCACAGCTCACAGCAACCTCAAACTCTGGGGAATAAGTGATTCTCTTGCTTCAGCCTCCCAAGTAGTTAGGACTACAGGCACCCTCCACAATGCCCAGCTATGTTTTGTTGTTGTTGCTGTTGTTGTCATTATTGTTTAGCAGACCCGGGCCGGGTTTGAACCCACCAGCTCTGGTGCATGTGGCCAGTGCCCTAACCACTGAGCATGGGTGCTGAGCCTATTTATTTACTTTTGAGACAGTCTCATACTGTCACCCAGGCTAGAGTGCCATGGCAGTCATCATAATTCACAGCAACCACAAACTCGGGCTCAAGTGATCCTCCTGCCTCAGCCTCCCAAGTAGCTGGGACTACAGGCACCCACCACAATGCCCAGCTAGTTTTTCTATTTTTAGTAGAGATGGGATCTCATACTTGTTGAGGCTGGTCTCGAACTTGTGAGCTCAAGCAATCCACCTGCTTTGGCTGCCCAGAGTGCTAGGATTACAGGTGTGAGCCATAGCGCCTGGACCATATAATACATTTCATTTAATTTTTCACCACTTTTAAGGGTGTACAGGGATCCTGAAACCAAGCAGTTTGAAAACTGCTGTTTTAGGGTTTCTTGATTTGGGTATAGATGGATCTACATTGTAAAAATGCACCAACCTATATGCTTATAGGTATGTATGTGTAGATTTCTATACAAATTATATTATGTTTCAGTAAAGCATTTCTTAAGCTTTTGTCAATTTTATAAAAATGTTATTGAGGCTGGGCATAGTGACACATGCCTATAGTCCAGCTACTCAGTAGGCCTAGGCAGGAAGATCACTTGAGCCAGGAGTTTGAGATTGCAGTAAACTAGGTATGCATAAGACAGAGGCATGACACCATTGCACTGTAGCCAGTGCAATAGATTGAGACTGTCTCAAAAGAGAAAAAAGGCTAAAGCAGGCGCTTGTCTGAGCTCAGGAGTTTGAGACCAGCCTGAGCAAGAGTGAGAGACCCTGTCTCTACTAAAAATAGAAAAACTAGCTGGGCATTGTGGTGGGCACCTATAGTCTCAGCTACTTGGGAGGCTGAGGCAGGAGAATCACTTGAGCCCAAGAGTTTGAGGTTGCTATGAATTAGGCTGATGCCATGGCACTCTAGCCCAGGGTGACAGAGGGAGACTTTGTCTCAAAAAAAGAAAAAAGTTACTAGAAGGACTTTATCTAACAAATGCAAGCAGTGTAACCTACTTCTCTGTATTCTCAATGAATTCCAAACAAACAAACAAAAATTTACTGAGCTTTTTGTTGAGTGTTCACCCTCTTCCAAGGCAAATCCTAAGTGTCTTTTTGGATTCTCAGGCTGAATGACTACAATCATCCCAGGAGGTAAAAATTATCAATGCTTTAATTTTCAGGATGAGGAAACAGAAAACTTGGGAGAGATGCAGCACTTGGCCCTGGGTCACACAGCATGGTAATGGTAGAACACGGTATGGACCTTACCCAAAACCTAATCCTCCACCTATCCTCAACTTTTCATTTTGAAAAAAATCCAAAGAGATAAAAAAGTTGCATACATAGTTTCAGGAACACTGCACACCCTCCACCTTGATTTAACACAGTGGCATTCTGCTTCATCTGTGTGTGTGTGTGTACCCACACACTTACTATTATTATTTTTTGCTGACCCACTTGCATGTAGTTGCACTTAAGCTTTGCTAAGAATAAGGATATTCCAACGCAACCACAATACCATCATTATATGTAAGAAAATTAACGCAATTTCCCTAATATTTACTATTCAGTCCATATGCAGATTTTCCAGTTGTTCCCCAGAAAGTCTTTCATGGTTGTTCTTTTCAAACTAACCTCCAATCATGGTTCCCATACTCCATTTGTCAATTCATGTCTCTTTAGTCTGTTTAATCTAGAATACCCACTTGCACTTTTGTTTTCAAGACATTGACTTGGTTGAGGACACACATCAAATTTCACCTCTGTAGTACACACATCCTAGCACTCTGATATTCAGCTTTCCTCTCTTGCTGAATATCATTAGGAATTCCCAATGGTTAAATTTTCTCTCAGATCGGGTCAGGCACAGTGGCTCATACCTATAATCCCAGCATGCTGGGAGGCTGAAGCGGGTGGATTGCTTGAGCTCACAGGTTTGAGTCCAGTCTGAGTAAGAGCGAGACTCTGCCTCTAAAACTAGCTGGGCATTGTGAAGGGGGCCTGTGGAGGCTGAGGCAGGACAACTGCTTAAGCTCAAGAGTCTGAGGTTGCTGTGAGCTATGACACCACAGCACTCTACCAGGCACCACAAAGTGAGACTGTCTCAAACAAACAAATACATTTTTTCTCAGGTCACATATTTCTTTTTTTTTTTTTTTGAGACAGAGCCTCAAGCTGTCCCCCTGGGTAGAGTGCTGTGGCATTACAGCTCACAGCAACCTCCAACTCCTGGGCTCAAGCGAGTCTCCTGCCTCAGCCTCCCAAGTAGCTGGGACCACAGGCACCCGCCACAACGCCCAGCTAATTTTTGGTTGCAGCCATTATTGTTGTTTGGCGGGCCCAGGCTGGATTTGAACCCTCCACCTTAGGTGTATGTGGCTGGCGCCTTAGCCACTTGAGCCACAGGCGCCGAGCCTCAGGTCATATATTTCTATTAATCACAACTCCAACAATGAGTTAGCCCTGTTCTGAGAACTTCACAAAAACTCTAAAAGGTGGGCGGCACCTGTGCTCAGTGAATAGGGCAGTGGCTCCATATACCGAGGGTGGCAGGTTCAAACCCAGCCTTGGCCAAACTGCAACAAAAAATAGCCGGGTGTTATAGCTACTCAGGAGGCTGAGGTAAGAGAATTGCCTAAGTCCAAGAACTGGAGGTTGCTATGAGCTGTGATGCTACAACACTCTATCAAGGGTGACAAAGTGAGACTGTCTCTAGAAAAAAAAAAAAAACCTCTAAGAGGTAGGTATATTATCATCATGTCCATCTTCCAGATAAGGAAACTGGGGCTCAGAGATGTAAAGCCCCGTGCCCTAGGTCACACAGTCAAAATGTGAACCTAGGTGATATGGCTCACTCACCTGACTGCACATGTCCTCCTGGCAGGGACTTCTTGGCTACTTCTGCCAGTGCTCCCAGCCCCAAGCCCAGAGCCAGTCCTGGAGATAAAGAGAGGAGCCTGAGTGCTTGTCTGGGGTGTTCTCTTCTGACCCTCTCTTTTCTCTCAGTCTCTCTCTCAGCATGTTTATCTCTCTGTATATCTGTTTCTGAATCAGTCTCTGACTCTGTTTTAATTTTCCTTCAAAGTGAGGCTGCCTTTCTTTATTCTCTCTTTGTCTCTCCCTCCCAGCTGTTCTCAGCCCTGGCTGCACGTTAGTTACCACAGGAGCTTTTGTTTTGTTTTTTGAGATAGAGTCTCACTTTGTCACCCTCAGTAGAGTGCTGTTGGCGTCATAGCTCACAGTAACCTCCAACTCTAGGGCTTAAGCAATTCTCTTGCCTCAGCCTCCCAGGTAACTGGGACTACAGGCGCCCAGTTACTTTTTGTTGCAGTTGTCATTGTTGTTTAGCTGGTCCAGGCCAGTTTTGAACCCATCAGCCTCGGGGTATGTGGCTGGTACTGTAACCACTGTGCTACGGGCAGTGAGCCACCAGAGAGCTTTTATAAATATCATGAACAGATTCCACACAGAACTTCTGATTAAACTGGCCTGAGATGAGACCTGGAGTTTGTACTTTGTTTTTAGCATCCCAGATGAATTTTTTTTTTTTTGAGACTGTCTTACTTTGTTGCCCCTGGTAGAGTGCCATGTTTCCCCCAAAATAAGACCTACCCAAATAATGCCCTAGCAGGATTTCTATGCATTTGTTAAATATAAGCCCTACTCTGATAAGACCTATGCATTATTATGCCACGCCATGCATTTCGGTACGGAGAGGAAGATGTCCCCTGAAAATAAGCCCTAGTGTGTCTTCTTGAGAAAAAATAAATATAAGACAGTGTCTTATTTTCGGGGAAACATGGTAGCTTACAACAACCCCAAGCTCTTGGGCTCAAGCAATTCTCTTGCCTCAGCCTCCCAAGTAGCTGGGACTACAGGTGCTCACCAATCGCCCAGCTATTTTTTAGAAGTGGGGAGGTCTCCCTCTTGCTCAGGCTGGTCTTGAACTCAAGATTGCTCAGGCAATCTACCTGCCTCAGCCTCCCAAGTGTTGGGATTACAGGTATAAGCCACCGCACCCAGCTATCCCAGATGATTCTAGTGTGCAGCCAAGGTTAAAATAGAAAAGATTAGCCAGGCATGGTGGCACCTACCTGTAGTTCTAGCTACTTGCTGAGGTAGGAGGACTGGTTGAGCCCAGGAGTTTGAGATTGCAGTGAGCTATCATGGTATTTCTGCATTATAGCCTTGGGTACAGAGCAAGATTTTGTCTCAACACACACACACAAAATAATTGTTCTGGGTCTCTCCATCTTCCAGTGACTCATTTCTCTGTCTATACCTCATTTTTGTGCTTATCAATCCTTTTTTTTTTTTTTTTTTTTTTGTGGGAGAGTCTTCCAGTGAGGACCAGAAAACCTACTAGACAATTTCTAAAAGAGCTGTAACACTCACTCATCTCTCCTTTTCTAAGTCATTTATTTCTCCATCTCTCTTCTTCTCTCTACCTGGCACATATCTAGGCCTCCTTCTCTCTGTTCCTCTTTGATGTCATCTCTCCAGCTCTGATTTCCTCTGCTTCCTCTTTCTTTTTATCCCTAAAGACATCTTGGGTGTTTCTGCCACTTTCACTGTCATTGTCTCTGTAAATTATTATGCTGGCATTTTCTGAGTGCTTTCTACATGGTAGGTACTGTTTTCACTACCTTATATGTATTAACTGATTTTCATCTTCAAATAAGGTGTCCTCGCATTTATAAAATACGTTTTAAAGAAAAACTTCAGTTTTATAGAAAAGGAAATCAAGGCTCAGAGAAGTAACTTGCCCAGAGTCTCAAAGTGAAGACATAGCAGAGTCACCCTTTGAATCCTAGGCAGCCTGGTGCCAGAGCTCCAAATAGCACCCTCGACTGCCTCTTTAGACTGAATCTGTATCATTAAAACCTGAACCATGATCTACAGTAAAGAAGACATCTACATTATAATCAGCACAGACCATGGTATATATATTTCATTAAACAAGACTTTCCCTTGTTGTACGGGTACACTCATATTTTCTATTCTCTTTTTTTTCATTAATGCTGGTTGCAAACCTCTAAATTATTTCATGGTGGGGTGGCGCCCGTGGCTCAAGTAGTAGGGTGCTGGCCCCAGATACAGGAGGTGGTGGGTTTGAACCAGCCTCAGCCAAAAATAATAATAATAAATAAAAATAAAAATAATTATTTCATGTAAGTTGTGACCTAAAGTTTTAACAATCTGGCTCCAAACCCAGTTATGAGAGGAAACAGAAGTTAGGAGAGTCATTTCACCTCTCTTAACTTCTATTTCCTCATCTACAGAATGGAAATAAACACTCATTGATTTAGTGCAGTCACTGCAGGCGGGTAGAGGTGCACATCACAGTTCTCTTGATCTTTATCTTTCCCTGTCTCTTCTTCCTTTCTGTTTCTGATTCATCTTCTCCCTTGCTTCATTCTGCGCCACCTCCTCTAATGAAGGTTATATCTAGATTCCCCAAAGTTGCACCTACCCCCAAAGTTGGCCAAGCGGCTGATGCGGGAGGCAGGCACCTTGCGTTCGCGAGAGCGGTCACTGAGCTGAGAAATGGGGAAAAGCTCTGAGGACAGGAAAGTAGGCATAGTGCCCAAGAATCCACCAGCTTGCCACCCCATCCTTCTCCAAGCTCAGGAGCCCAGCAGCCTTCAGGGGCTATTGCTGGGTAAGTGAGGGGAATGATACCTGGGGCCGGGGTGTCTTCTTGGGACGGGCGTCCCGGGCCCTGCGAATATCCTCCTCACCCAAACCTCTTCCAGGCCCATCCTGATGAAACTTTTGGGCCCAAGAACCCCCACATGGTCCCTGCAAGAGATATGCACTTTGGTAAGGAAAGGAGGACATGGGTCTGCTTGGCCCTTGTGGATCCCTCCCTATCTTTTCACCTCTGAAATGTCCATCAGGGTCTTCCCTTGGGAGGTCCCCTCCCCAGTCTCTTACCCACCAGTGGGCCCCAGGCCCCAGGGGCCCACAAGGTAGACCAACAATCTGTCCCCGTTCTCCATAGGTTACCCGCAGTAGGTACCCCACCTTCAGCCACATTGCCTGGGGGAGAAGAGGAGGGATTATTCAGATAGGAGTTGCAAGACTAGCCTTCCTGCTTTGCCCTGCTTCTTTGCCAGGCCCCCACATTCCCAAGCGTCCACTTAAGATTACCACCCGCTAAAGACTTCCTCCCAGTTAACAGATTTCCACAATGTCTCTTGATTTCCCCCTCGTTGCTAGGAACCCATAGCTCGTCCTGAGCGCCTCCCAAAACCCACTTTCCCGCTTCTCCTACCCCCCGCCGTTGCTAGGGTCCTCCCTCGTTACTAGACACCCACAGGTCCTCCACGGCTACCTCTCCACTTCTCTGAACCCCACACCCCCACCTGCCCCGTTGCTGGGTACCGCCTTCCCCTCTGTTGCTAGGCACTCACAATTCCTCCGGGTGTTCCCCCCTCACCAAACCCGCTACTGGGCACCTCCCCTCGTTGCTAAGCACCCACAGCTCTCAAGCTCCGAGTCCACCTCGCGCTGGGGACCTCGGGTGCTTCCGGGAATCTCTGCCTCACCGCCCCCTCCGGTCATTTAGCCAACGGCGGAACAGCAGCTCGCTGATTGGCACGAAGCACGGCCCACTGTGCGTGGCGGGGGCGGGGCTGAGGTGCTGGATCTGGGCACAAGGGTGGGCGTCCGGGAATGCTGGGGCACCCCGCGTGCCCACTATATACCCTTCCACTCACCTCAAAATGCCTTGTGCGCGGCAGAGCTTTCTGTTTGCCACACTGTCTTTCTTGCAAACATCACTCTCCCTTACAAACTTCACACCTCTCCTCTTCACGAACATCTTGCCAACTTCTCTTCTTATTTTTATCCCTGGCAGGCTCAACATCTCTCCTTTGAACACACATGCTTCCCACCAAACATTTTCCTTGCACAAGGAGCTCCTCCACTTTGCACAGACACCCACATCTCGGCACCCAACCTCTTTCCTTGTGCATATAAATCCCTTGCCTTGCTCCTGTCTCAGACTCATGCCTTCAACTCTCCTGCGTACATAAACCCCCCTCACTTGCACCCTGAGTCTCTATTCCCTCACTCACCGTGCCCTCTCTGCTCCCCACCCATGTGCGGGATGGCGGGAGTGGGAGCCCTTGGTTCCTGTAGGCCTGACATTTCCCAGAATACACTCAGCCAAAATCCCCAGTGCTGAATCAGGAAACTTGGCATCCCAGAAAATTAGCTCCCAGCCCATCTGTGTGTGTTGGAACAGGCTGACTCACCCCTCTTCTCACAGTCTAGAATAGAAGCAGCTGATTGGGGCACCTCTCCCACTGCTGGGAGATGCTTCCCCCGCAGAACTCAACTGCCCCATCCAACCCCTTTGTCGGGAATTAGGCCTTTGTGTCTCTATCCCTGAGCTGTGTTACCCCAGAAGAGCCCTCCTCCCTCTTTGGACCTCTGCTTCCCAGCCTGTATGATATACCAGGTGGGTTCCAATCTCTGATTTCTCATTGGTCTGGGAAGAGATGACTCATTTTAGAGCCTAGGATCTGTGCCCAATGTCCCTCCAACAGGTGACTAAATTTCAGGATAGAAACCACCCCCAATCTAGCTCCAGACATGAAGATATGACTCAGGAGCTGGGTGGCAGCTCACCCTTGGGGCAAAGAATATGAAAAGCATCCAGGACAATAACTAACCCTACAGGGCTACGACTGACAGTGCCAGGCCTGGTGTTACATACATCACATAGTCACATATCAAATAGCCCCATGGCTACAGACCTAAGGTAGAGGCTGGCAGGCTTCCAAGCCTCAATTTCCTTGTGTGTAAAATGGGGCCCTGGCATCAGTGTTAGTGAGGGAGTGAAGCAGTAAAATAGTATCAGGGTCTGGTACAGAACCATAGGAAAGAAATCCTCAGGACCCTGACAAAAGTACAGCTATTTGGGAGACAGGTAGTGAAAGAAAGCAGGCCAGAAACCAAACTGCATGATTACAGCAACCCTCTTCCCATACTTCTGTAAATCCTTATGCTACTCACATGAGCACAGTCATTGTGGAAGGACAGCTAGTGATAAAAAGCAGGTCAGAGACCAAATGGCATGGTCATAGCAACCCTCTTCCTACCCTCCTGAAATGGTTCAAGGTTGGTGTTCCTGGGAAGCATCAGAAAATCTCCCACCCTGGTCCTGGCAGGCACTAGAGATAAGGCCTTTGTGCAAAATTGACACCTTTTGTGGAAGGTAGTAATTCTAAAATCAGTCTTGGACATAGCATCTTTCACTCTGCAGGAAAGATGACTTCCCTCACCTCTCATGACCCCTCCCACATTCCAACTAACTAATACAAGTCCCTTGGAGCTGTGCAAAGGGGGCTGACTTCTGGTCAGACTCCATTCTGCTTCTTTAAAATAAAGCCTATCCTTAATCCCTGGACTAGCCTCC